CTCTATGATCTGCTCAGGTTCCTTCCGACCCTACAGACTATGAAACTATAAACTATGAAACTATGAGATCAGATAGCCATTTTAAATTCAATCTAACCTCCCTCTAACCTCCCTGAATGTCTGTGCATACTTTATATGATGTAAAGGTCCACCTTTTGACTACATTTTTATTCTACTTTACACCTCCTTTTTCATTAAGTTTGACTGTTGTCTAGCCCATGCAAAAAATCTGTGGTTTCTATGTTTTGGATTTTTCATTATTTGGTGTTTTCTTTTGGTGTTTTGGAGGAGATTAGTCTCAGGAAACAAAATCTGATGTGTAAATGATGCGTTAAACATATTGCTATTAAAGTCGTGAGAGTTTGGGGGTTAAGGATTTAGACACGCATGCCAGCAGAAAGCTTGTGAGGCAATGCAGCAGGGTTCTCCCATCATACTTTGTCTACTGCCCATGTTCATGTGTGTACAAAAAGCTTTGCCAAGCCATTTGATACTGGGCAATAAGTAGTCAACTGAATATGTTTTATTAAATTTTGCTGTAGAAATGCCTGGAAACTCAGAAATAAAATTGTTATTGTTATCTCAAGCCAGCACCTCAGGCAATCTATAAGTGGCAAACAGATTATGAAGCACTTTGTTTTTACAACAGAGGTAGTTGTGCTTCACTTCTGGCTATCAAGAATATGCATCACTGAATTCATTGGCTTATCCATTTCTGCAAAATCTGGGCTTTTCCAGGGCTTCATAGTTTTCTATGCTGTATCCTTCATGTTCTGATGGTTATTACACAAATTACACTGACAGCAAAAAGTCTTGATCTAAAGCTGGCCACCAAAAATAACTTCTGGCTATCCTGTTATTTTTTCTTACCCCTTATTGCTGCTCATGTTGTTGGCACTGGATTTATGACCCAGATACCTTGTTCCAGGCAGACCCAAACCCTCAGACCCACCACGACTTCTCCATTTAATAATAAGTGAATTTTATTGATACACAGTGACAGCAGATAAGAATAATGCAAATAATTCTATATCTACCAGTCCCAGAGCTCACAGAGTTAAGGTTTGTCTGGTCAGTACACAAGCTTCACTCTGAGGTTCTCTCTTGAATGTCAGCTGTCAGCAGCCTGGAGGTTGGAGGCTGATGCCCACCTACCCCAGTGCCCTCTGTCAACGGTGGCCTCAGGTTCCCCTCTCAAGGACCATTTGCTGCTCAGACATCCCTCCTTTTGTATCCTTTCTCTTTTCTGATGACTCCTCATCTTTGGGCATCACTGATTGGTCTGTCTGTGGTTGTCATACTGTCTACGTTCTGTCCTGTCAGCATTTTCCTTTGTTTCACAAACCCATCACATGCACCCATTCTAATTTGGGCTTTACTGGTCTTCTCCTAAATGTGGTCAATTCTCCACAACTGGAAATCCCAGGGGCTCTGCAATTGAGCACTGTAACTGGGTGCTCCCTTATCTCACATTATGGAATAGTGTGGTAAATGTCTTCAATTTTTCAGTCTGTGTGTCTGCTTCAAGGCAGACAGAGTGGGCCTTGAAGAAACTGTCACAAACAAGCTTTTAGAAATCAATTAACCCTTGCCATTCCCCTGGACCATTGTTCTAAAGCAATATTTATTTTACCTACAAGCCAATTCCCCAAAGCAAACCTCTAAATACCTTTTTCTAGCCATCAATGTCATTCCACTAGTATACTTTTCCCATGTTTTTTCACCAGTAACAAATGACTGTTCTGCCCATAGAACTCTAGTTTCCTGAAATAGTGTTGGTTGCTTTTAATATATGTAATATAGCTAGGTGAAAGTATATAGTACATTCCCTTAACTAAAAAGGGTTCTAGGGTTCTAAGGGTTCTTCTTCATTTTATGTTGTTCACTCTACACAGGAACTGCTAGACCAGGACATCATCATTAACATGGCTTTCCAATGGTCTGTACTAGTATGATAATAGTCGTAGCTTTTCAGATGAGTTTTTCAAATCCCAGGATAATTTTTTGCAAGCAAATGCTCTGAATTTTTTACTTCCTTCTTTATAAATGTGTGAAACAATAACGTCAACTCTTACAGCAGTGATATCAGAGTATGGTGTCATGGGTGATTTTGGATTAATATGCATCCATATGCTGAACTATTCTTTTTTTGTTTGTTTGTTACCTCAAAAGGCTTATTTGCTTTTTCTCTGTAAACACATTTGTATTTTTCTGTAACAAGGCAGATATTAGACTGATTAAGTTTGGAATGAATGTTCGTTCCCTAATAGCTTCCCATAGTCAGACATGATCTAAGCTCCAAAACATTCTGTGGTAGTACTAAAGTCTCAAAAACTTGCCTTTTTAATGGGCAAGTTCTTTGTGGACCTATGCAATGTTTTAAGATACCAGTTTTGAAAAGAGTACACTTATTTTGGGGTAACTTTGAAATCATATCTTTGTGATTTCTTTAGAACCACCTCAAGGTTTTATAAATACTTCTCAGAACTCATGGTAGAGGTGATATCTTTTATTAGACCTACTAGATATTTTCAAAAAAAAAAATCTTTATTTGCAAGCATTTGGTCACAGGCACGCTTCTTCAGGCATAGGAGAAAAGATTGTAAAAGTTCTCCTGGGTAGAAATGGAAGTTTATAATTAATAAGACAGTTGAAGGTGTGGTAAAATCTCCTGTTTGGAACAGTTCATTTTATGCAGATTTAGGCTCAGATAAAAGTTGGAATAGTCTGTTTATGTCAAAGTTGTTTGGTGGTAAGCAGGATGTAAGCGTATTTCCTTCGGGTTATGATGGTTCATATTTTACAGAAAAGTAAAAAGATGGAATGCTTTTCTGGGCAGGAAAAAGCATTATGTGGTGCAGTATTTCTGGGTTGTGTGATAACACAAATTACCTTAAACAAAGGCAGGAGCAAGGTCTCAGTTTTCAGGTGGTAAAACTTGCTTCCTCCTTGTAAAATTATGAAGAGTTAGTTTTTAAAAATCTGCTAAAATTCGATATCCCATGGAAGATTGCAAATAAAGACATTTTTTGCAAACATCTTTGAGGTGCTCCATTCTTCACTCTTTGCTGAGATCCCATTTTCCATGTCAAGCATGATTAAGACACATTTTTTTCAAATGTTAGCACATTTTAATTGTGGCTTCAAAAAATAGAGCTGTCTCAACAGTTCCTCTTGGTGGTTCCTCCTTAATGTCTCACAGCCTCTCTCAGAGTCCTGTGTGTTTTACTTTAAAGATAAATTGATGTATGAAAGATCTTGCAAAAAATTACCAAAAC